GTCTATCACATGTGTGGAGAACGGAAGCGATATCCTTTGTGTGGAAATTCCTTCAATGGCCACACAATCGACAGCCAGCGACAACGACAATGTCAATGTTGCATGGCATTTTCCGCACAAAAGTTTTCCAATTAAATTTATGTGCAAATAATATAACAAATTTTGTTGCATTGATTTTTAGAGCCAAAAGCTGTAAAAGCCACGAAAATCGCTCAACTGCCGAATTGATGAATTGTTTCCAAAGTGTTTTGCAATTATTTATTCGTTTCGGTTTCGGTTTTTTCGGCTTTTAAGGGCATAGCAAGTGTGTGATGGAGTGATGGACTGCGATCAATTAGCGGGCTATTGCTGTAATTTTATTTTATCGTATTTTATTTATTTACCAAAAATATCAAAATTAAATGGGGATATTTCTGTATTTAAAGGTTCAACATATCAATAGCAAACCAAAAAATATTCAGCACTAGGCCCACTTTATTTGACATATTTATTTTAATGAACTATTTTTACTTATATTTTTATACCCGATACTCAAAATGAGTATTGGGGTATATTAGATTTGTGGTAAAAGTGGATGTGTGTAACGTCCAGAAGGAATCGTTTCCGACCCCATAAAGTATATATATTCTTGATCAGCATCAATAGCCGAGTCGATTGAGCCATGTCTGTCTGTCCGTCTGTCCGTCTGTCCGTCCGTCCGTCTGTCCGTCTGTCCGTCTGTCCGTCCCCTTCAGCGCCTAATGCTCAAAGACTATAAGAGCTAGAGCAACGATGTTTTGGATCCAGACTTCTGTGATATGTCACTGCTACAAAAATATTTCAAAACTTTGCCCCGCCCACTTCCGCCCCCACAAAGGGCGAAAATCTGTGGCATCCACAATTTTAAAGATACGAGAAAACAAAAAACGCAGAATCGTAGAGAATGACCATATCTTTTAGACTGCAGAATCTGAATTGGATCGTATTACTATTATAGCCACCATCAAGAAAACAATTTCATTTTTTCTCGCCCTGTCTCTCTCTAACACACAGGTAGCATAGGCGGCTTTGCTTAGAGTAAAACATTAGCGCCTAGATCTCAGAGACTATAAAAGCTAGAGCAACCAAATTTGGTATCCACACTCCTAGTATATCGGACCGAGACGAGTTTGTTTCAAAATTTCGCCACACCCCCTTCCGCCCCCGCAAAGGATGCAAATCTGGGGATATTCACAAATCTCAAAGACTATTAACGCTAGAGTAACCAAATTTGGTATCCGCACTTCTGTTAGATCTCACTATAAAACCTTTATCTCAAAATTTCGCCCCACCCCCTTCCGCCCCCACAAAGGACGAAAATCTGTTGCATCCACAATATTGCAGATTTGAGAAAACTAAAAACGCAGAATCATAGATACCGACCATATCTATTAGATTGCTGAATCTGGATCAGATCAGATCATTTTTATAGCCAAAAGGAACAAATCAATTTGCAGTGGCTACGCAGCGCCCGACGTCACGCTCAGACTGATTTTCTGTCTCTCTCGCACGCACTCTTTGTCGTGTCGTTTAATATTAGCGGCGTCTGCCGGAGGAGAGCCATACTGACTTAGTATCGGGTATAACCGTAGAGTTGCGGTGTCCGCAGCAACTCACAACGTTCCCCCTCGTTTATTATAATTTTTTTTTTGAATTAATAAAGATTTTTTTTTATATTTTCTGATCCACCTTTTCAGAACGATTTGAGGCTCTGAAAATATGTTTTTTACATTTATTCTTATTGTTTGTTTTTAATAATTAAAAAGAAGGGTTTTTTGTTGCATGTGGATGTGCGGATCAGAAACCACCTTTTTAGAACGATACTGGCGCTCTAAAAATATGTAATGAACTATTTTTTATTTTTATTATTTGATTGTTCGAATTTTTCTTTTTAAGAATTAAAAAGAAGGAATTTGTTTTTTTTTGTATATTCTGATTTACTTTTTTAGATAGATTTGGAGCTCTAAAATGTTTTAATGAATTATTAATATTATATTTTTTATGGTTAAGATTTTTATGAAGATTTAAAAAGGTTTTTTTAAGTTTGTTTGTTTAGATTTTCTGTAGCCTAAACCACATTACGCTTTCAGAGGCATAATTAATTTAAATTAATTTTATTGTGGTATTTTTCTAATCGAAATTTTGATTTTTAAAACTCAGGAATAGACGTAATAAATTATATTATTTTTATTTTGTATTTTTCCCATTTGATTAGATCGAAAAAAATCAGTTCCCTCGATCTTGCAGGCACTGCATCTCATTTTGATTGTATGTATTATTTTAAATAATGAAATTTTTGGATTTCTTCCTTGGCCTCTGAATCAGTAAACTTATTTCCGACAGATCGTCTAAGAACAGGAACCAATATGCACATTATAAAAACTTATTTTTAGGGATTTTTGCTCAATTCGTGTCTTTGCTTTTCGAGTTGTTTAAATGCAAAGTGCTGAAAGGGTGAGCAGATCCCCATAAAGTATGATATTTATGCTATAAAAACAATAAAAAAACCCCTAAATTAAATTGAATTAAATTCAACTCAGCCTCCGGACATTGTAGACAGTTTTCTGCCTAAAAGTAACCTTTATTTGGCTTTTAAAATTTGTAAAACGTTCAAAAATGTATATTTCAAATAAAAGTCCCCCACCTCTCGCCAAAAAGAAGAGTTACTGCACTGGAGAGTTCTTTGTCTTTCCAATTGCACGGCAAAGCTCAGGTGAGAGAAGGGGGAAACGGAATAACGAAAAAGCGAAAAAACGGGTTCTCAAATTGTGTGTCAGCCCCGTCTGCTGTCCAATAAATGTCAATTACAATCAATTTGCACAAGTTTTTCGGAGTCTCTACTCTCTAAAGCCGAGCGTTTCCATTGTCCAACCTTCGACTCTGGTATACGTCTCTGACCTTTTGTTGGCCCATTCCCTAGGCTGGGCCGCTTTAAAGTCTGGCCCCCGGCCCAAAGGTAACAGCAACAAATGCTGATTGGCAGATGAAATTAAATTCGCCAGCCAGTCAGCCAGTCGGCCAGCTCGAGGAAAGACAAGAAAAGCCAAAGACAAACCGATGGCATGGCAGGGCATACTTTACAGGATCAAAACTCTGAGTGAGCGAAACGAGAGCGCATTTTCTGGCTTTTGTTTTATGCAAGGAAGGCATGGAAGGAGCGATTCCCCGTGGCAATATGATTGATTGATGATTAGCAATCGCCCCTCGCTACCCCCCTGCTGCCTGCTGCCTGCTGCCTGATTCACTTTTAAAACAACAACAGAAACAGACACTGGGAAAACTCTGCAAGGAGAGAGAGAGCTCCCTGCCTCCTGGCATTATGGCGAATCAATCATTATCATCTTCAACTGCAGACTGTGCTCTCTCTCTCTCTCGTGCTCAAACATTCTTTGGATCTGTGTGTGCCGCCACATTGTTGCTGTTGCAAATCAATCTTCCAGCAATCTTCCAGCCAGCGAAAATTTCAATCAGCAATCTTTGATAATACCATATCGTTGACAAATTGTTTGGCAACAAAGACAGCCTTAAAGGGTGGTTATTTTGAGTCCTTTGTTTGACTTATGTATGCCCTCACTGGCAGCTACTTTTAATTAAATTTCCCCACAAGATGCCAGGCCTTTTTTAAACATTTTTTAAGCCCTCTCGAAAGTCTCAGGAAAGTGTCATTAAAGTCAATAATTAAGTCAAGAACCGCATCGCACAAGGCGCTGGCGGCGCAGGGTTAAGACAAAGCGGAAATTAATGCGTATGCATCCATTTGCCACATGGAGCGCCTCCAGGAGACACACACACACACACGGGAGACACAAACTGAATAAATGAAAGGATATTAGCCGCACATTTTGGTGCCTGCGACAGGGGCATGTCAATGCTGTCGTCTGTCGTCTGCCTCTCAAGTGCCATGTTTTTGCCTCAGCCTGTTTCGTCTTCGTGTGAATTAAGTGCGAAAATGTGCAAATTAGATTTAGCTGGTGTACAGTGTACACTCTCCTACATACACTTTTAATTACAGCACAACATAAACTTTTTGACACCACACCAAGCCGCACACCACACACACACATATGAATTAATTAGCAATTGAAAGCCTTCGGAGAGGCAAAAGGATGCCCGTCCTTCAGGCCTCATGCCTCATTTTCCCCACTACTTTTGGGTGCACAGAACTCCCATCCATCTGTTCAATTAAAATATCATTATATTTGCCTCTTTCTTTCTCTCTCTCTCTGGGGAAAAACCTCAGACTAATTGATTTCTCAGGGGAGGAGAAGCCTCTTTTCATTGGAAAGTGAGTGAATGAATGTTTTTCAGTGTCACCTGCAATGAAAAACCCCCTACAGGACAGGTGTCATTTTTTTCAGTGTTTGACAACGGAAACTCGTGTTTTTCTGTGTTTCCTGTTTATTGTTTTATATTTCCATTCGACAGTTGGACAAGGCCCTCCCTTGTCTGATTTAAGCACTTTTTTGTGGGAGTTTCGGATCTCTATAGAGGCTCTAAAGCCCTTCCTATTCACCTTCATTATGTTCCCCAGGGCACTGCAACATTTGGCTTTTGCTTTGACACAACTCTAGCCACAGATCACATCAGCAGCAGCCACAGCCACACCCCGCATTGGATTCACTTGCACTACCAGCAGAAGTCACACATCCTTTATGTGCTATCATAACGTGTAATCAAGGCATCACATAATTTAGTAGCAGGACACACAGCCAGGAGAACCAAACGAACCACAGCCCGAAACTAGTTAAAAAATCCCACAAAAAAGGTGAAACGGGTGCCAAAAGGGGCTTTAAAGGGTTGAGTGATGACACGAAAGGATTACATTCATGGAAAAGACTGTCAAGTTCTAGCTTTAATGAAAATAGAAGCCCTGGGAATATATGTATTTCATATATTAATAAATTGGTATTTCCCGAGTGAAGAATCTGCTGGTCCTTAGCAGTCTCCACTGTAGCCCCCACCCATTAAAATCTTTCAAAAAATATACTTAAAACACAGAGCTTTTATTGCATTTTTGAATCTTCAAACCCTCCCGACTGTTGCGTGATCTGTCCTGTCCAGCGCCGACTAGCAACAGCGTCCGCCCCAGAATCCTGGACCGCTGGCACCGCACCACGAGTTGAATGGACCATTGTAGGGTCCAAAGCAGGGATCGTAGAAGCCACTGGGTCCACACCCACCGCAGGGGCAGAGGGCGGCAGAGGGATAGCAAGGCCAGCTGCACATCTTTGTAATTTGCTTTTGTCCTGCCAAAAAAATATTTTTATTTTTGTTTTTTATTTGAATTTTGACTTTGCTTACTTTGCTTGGAGGAGTTGGAAAAAATTGAATTTTATTTTGTGTTTTCACAAAACAGTCCGAAGGGTTGGAGCTCCAAAGATTGAATGAAATAAATGTGCGATTTAAGCACCTACAAAATATAGTCCATGCGGAAGCCGAAATCATGGCATACTTTATGCTGGAAACTAAAACAATTTGCAGCACAAGAAGGTATCTGTGGTCTTTCTGTCAAAATTAAAAATTTTAATAGTTTTTTTTTTGGAATATACTCCAAAACTTAAGGTTCTTCTTGTAGAATGGCTTCAAAGGGCTAGTACAAAGAAAGTATTCCCCAAAACCAGAACCGGCACCTATTTCCGTGAAGAAGGGGCGACTATTCGGCGACAGGATGTGTGGTGGCGGCTGTTATCCTTGCTGCAGCCTCTGCTGTGGACCCTGTTGTGGACCCTGCTGTGGACCGTGCTGTGGACCGTGCTGTGGACCGTGCTGTGGACCCTGTTGTGGACCCTGCTGTGGACCCTGCTGCAGTCCGTGCTGCGGTCCGTGCTGCGGTCCGTGCTGCAGCCCCTGCTGCAGCCCCTGCTGTGGACCCTGCTGCAGTCCGTGCTGCAGCCCCTGCTGCTATCCCTGCTGCTCCCCCTGCTGCTATCCCTGCTCCTATCCCTGCTGCTATCCCTGTGGGGCCCTCGGCGGTGGCTGCTGTTCAGGCTGTTAATGTTCCACAGCCGTTTCTTTAGAAAGAAATTCAGGTGCTGGATTCTGGTTCAGCCAAATTTATTGATGGAAACAGCTATGCAATAGAATCATAACAAGAAACTAAGTACATAAAATCCGTACAATTAAGCAAATAAAATTAGTTTTTAACTATTTCATGGACAATAGTGGCAAAAGGAAGGCTAATTTGGGGGCTGGGTGCTTAAAAAATCACTTAAGGATCCCTGTCACTGTTGGGATTATAGGACTTTCATCGCTGAGCTCTAATCAGGCCTCCAAAAGTGCAATTCCATTGATACGCCATTGTGTATCGCCCATTGTGTGAAAAAATAACAATTTGTGATAGAAGAGGGTATCTGTAGTCCTTATCTAAAGATTGTATATAGATATAAGAACCACCCGATCAAAACAAAGACAGAAACTACGCAGCAATGTAAGCTCCCGTTCGTTGCTCCTTGCTCCGCATTTGCTGAGAGCGTGGCCTGAGAGAGTGAAAGAGCGAGAGACACTCGTGTCAGCAGAGTGTGGATGGATGTTGCAGAGATAGCAATAGCAGAAAAAGCATTTCGTGTGCTAAAATGGGTTCCGTTTGCCGAGACCGACCGGCAGGGAAGATAACAACAACACAATTTAACTACCTGCTCTCGTGTTCTCGCAATCAGGCATTGTTGTTGCTGAGAGAGCAGACGAAAGACACGATCGGGAATGAAAAGACAGCAACAAAGCAACTGCGAGAGTGTACGTGTGTGTGTGTGCATTGCGGTCGGGAAGCAAAGTTCTCGCTTGCAGATGAAATGGAGATCAAGAGATAAGACAATTTGACAGTGCAATACGCTCGGAGACGCTTGGAGGCGAAGTACCAGAAAAATGCAAGAAAAGGAGCAGCCTAATCTCTGACACCTATATTTTTATATGGGAGCGTTACGGTCCTAACAAGTTTGGATATTTATATAATAAATCGAATGCTGGAAGGCGATTTAACAATTTGGGCTTCCGCAAAGCCCTACATGCCCTCGAAGACGGTTTCCATCAACAGAGGCCTCTCAAGTGACCCCAACCAATGGAAAAAACCCTGCTGACGAGACTTTTGGCAAAGGCTATACATACGAGTACCCACACCTTAAAGTGCTTAAGAAATGGGGCAGCCGTCGTTAGGATACAAGCCCCCATCTCCTTCCCCACCCACAAAAATATAATTTTTCACTAAAAAATATACATCACAGTAGGCTGTGTTCTGTAACCTTTGGAATATTCAGGCATATATAGTTGTAAAACCAAACAATTTCTCATTAGTTTTCCGGCTCTCGTTCAGGCAACAACTAAAAATTATTTTCGGGAAAAAAAATGTGAAAATTATTTGAGTAAAAAAATTTGTGTGTAAAAATGTTTACGCGAGTTCAAAAATTTTGTTTGTGAAAAGTTTCACATGTGTAAAAATTATTATTCGTAAATCCTAATTCCAATGATGGCTAAAAGGTAGTGACAAGTGAAATTTGTTTTGGCATATTAACATGGATCCATTCCGCAGTATCTCCACACAATTTAGCAAATACTCCATACTCCAAACTACACCAACTACACAAACTACACAATTTACACTTTAAGCTACACAGTCCACACTCATCGAACCGCATTTCTATCTACCAGACTCTTATACACAAACTACACTTCGATAAGCATATACATATGTATAAGCATACTTCTTATACGCTAATCTGCACACTTATACACTGATCTGCACACTTATCTACACTCTACGCCAATCTGCAAAGTTATTTGCACTCTACGCCAGTCTGCAATATTATTTCCATCCCACACCAATCTGCAAAACTAACCTAACCTACACTCTACGCACTGGAGGCAATTAAGCAAAGCAAATGAAAAATGGTCGATTTGAACCAAGTCAATACTCAAAGGATACGTGTTTAGCCATATGTTTGGAATTAGGGTAAAAGTTTACAAGTTCTCGCAACGCAATCGTCTATTTGGGGTGGTAAGTCCTTTAGAGATTTATTCTTGACAATCTTATGCTAATTCTTCATTTGATTTTGCAGGATGCAGCAATAATGATTTCTACAGATACGGGTTATGTTTTAAAGAAAGCCATACACAGAATGGCTTTTGTAAGTATACGTACATATCTCATATATTTATTTATATATAATTGCAATTTTGTTTGTCTTTTGCTTAGCTTTCACTTAATACAAATTAATACCGAAGGACCAGCTGGGATTAGTCAACACAAGTTTTTTTTCAAAGTTCCATGTTAAAAAAGATATAATAAAAAAGATGTCTGATTGTGATTATTATTAACACTTAATTATTGTGTCATAATTTTTAAGGGGGGCTTATAGGGGTTGAATCCAGTGTTGCTTTTCCCCTTGAAGAATTGCCGCTGACATTTTCATTTCATTTGACAGATTTTTCATGGCCAATCTTGGTCATGATAAATTTTATCTTATTTTGGATACGGCTCTCCCTTTTTAAAAAACTCGAAAATCTTAGTAGCCCTATTCTTTGGTAGATCAGGCATATTCGAAATGAGATTTTCGTCAGTCTGTTTCCATTCCTGTTCCCGTCAACATCTATATTTTTTTGTTAAATTTTCGTTCTATGTGAGTGTATAAAAAATAGCAAAAATTTGAGTAATTCACTTTTGGAATCCACGCAAAAAACTTTAGGTTCCTATCGTAGTATGCCCTGCCAGGTATAATCAAAAGAAAGAGTTACCCAAAACCAGAGCCGGCACCTATTTCCGTGAAGAAGTGGCGAATATTCGGCGACAGGATGTGTGGTGGCGGCTGTTATCCTTGCTGCAGCCCCTGCTGTGGTCCCTGCTGCAGTCCATGCTGCAGCCCCTGCTGTGGTCCCTGCTGCAGTCCATGCTGTAGCCCCTGCTGCAGCCCCTGCTGCTCCCCCTGCTGTTCACCGTGCTGCTCCCCCTGCTGCTTTCCATGCTGTTATCCCTGTGGAGGCTGTGGTCCGGGCTGTTGCTGATGTTCCACGGCCACTTCTTTAGAAAGAAATCCAGGTGCTGGGTTCTGGTTCAGCCAAATTGATGGATGGAAACAGCTATGCAATAGAATCAAAACAAGAAATATGTAAAACCATAAAAAAAACGTCAATTTAGTCTTAGTCTTAGGATACAAACATAACAAGAAGTGCAAAAAATCAACAAAAAAAGAATAAATGCAATACGTAAAATGTCTAAAATATGGGCTTTTAGCTATTTCTTTGATAATAGAGACAAAAGAAAGGGCTAATTTTGTGACTGGGGGCTTAAGAAATCACTTAAGCATCTCTTACACTGGACTTTCATCGCTGAACACGAATCAGGTCTCCAGAATGCCATGGTGTACCGCCCTAAGGCGGCAAGTAGAGCGCAAGCGCCCATGAAAATGTTGTGCTATATGAAAATTTTGGATTGATTAAGGCATTTTAGATTTAATTAAATTTTTTTGACAGTTCACGCGTTTTTTTTTATTATTTTATTTGATTGGTTTTTATTGGGAATCGAGTTGTCGCAAGTCGATGAACCGGCAATGACCAGCTACTTCAATAGTAACAACAAGGCTCGAGGCAAGGCTAGTTATTGTTGCATTATTTTGTTGTTGTAGCGTCTCTTGAGATGCATTGATTAAATGGCTGACGTAATCATTGTTATCGATGTGCGGAGGAGGAGTGTTGTACAAGGTACATTATTCTCTACACATGATTGTAAAAGGGTTTTTCTTAAAAACTCGATTGATAGGCACTTTTAGAGACCAGATTCGTGATCAGCGATGGAAGTCCTATATGAATCAGTGTTATTGGTACGTTTTGTTCGTTCATAGTGCTCCTTTATTCTTATAAAATATTCATTACGAAGACATTCTACATCTCCAGTCATATGCATCTACATCTACATCTAGAGTCATTCTACAGCTACATCTACATCTACATCTACAGTTGTCTTCATTCGATCCTACCGTCATTCTACATCTACATGGTATCTCCTTTCTCTGCCTGTGTTGCTCTTTTAATGGAATTCTTGGATATAATTCTTATATATTAATCTTAATTTATTTCCATGGAAGTTGAACGATAATGTCATCTATATACACGTACAGCCATTCTACATTTACTTGTACTTCCACCCTCTTACTTTCTTTCTTCTCTGCTTATCCATCTATAAGGATAGCTCATGGTATCCCAACGTTTGCCCTTCTTTAATCTCGTACACATAGTACTTTTTTTTTTAAGCAAAGCAGGAAGGAATTCTTTTTCTATTTGCCAGCTAAGAGAGTAAGCTGTTTGCATTCCCAATTGATTTATAAGCCCCCCTACACAGATAGAGAGAGAGAGAGAGAGAGGGAGGGAGGAAATAATGCATACAAATTTGTCTATATACGAGAGTATTCCCGTACTCTTCTGCTCTCGTATTCTTCATCAATTTTATGCACAAAATGCTGCTCTGCTCACCAAAGATACGCGAGTTGCCTTTTCAATTTCCCTGCGTATGCTTAGTCAGCGCAGTGCTTTCCCCGCCAACCCATGCACCAGCAAGACCATTTCCCCCCCATTTCCCCCCCATTTTCCTCCATTTCCTTTGAACCTCAGACTTGAACTCCCACTCGGACTCTGGACTAGGGAGATTTTTGTTTGCATTTTGTTGGCCCAAGAGACTAATGGTGCATGGACCCGTTTCCCCCTTAGTCCAGTGTCTGTCCTGTCTGCATTTTTTTCCAATTCAACAGTTAATAAATCCCCAACATGCATACGATTCGTGCTCGTAGTATCTGTGGCAGAGTGCAGGCAAATGGCCAATTGAAGGGGCGCCCCCGGTCCCGTTCCGGCCACTATATCTACATGCAATTTAACCCTTGGCTTATTGACGAAAAATTGCATTGAAGGATGGTTTTTTTAGAGACTTTATGGCACAAATATTGCGAAAATATTCGATGGAAAAGAAGCTAAAGAGAGATTTGTGTTTATAGTTTAAAACCTTGACTAAATCCTCTGCCAAGGAGTCAGAAATACCATCCAAAATGAACCCAATTTTATATACAATTGCTATTGTTCTCTTTGGTGTGCCATGGGTTAAAGCCATCCTGGCATTTCCTGGATAACCAGCTCAATTGACCAAAAAGAAGTTTGCCAAAGACTTGAATGGTTTTCCAACTGCATTTCGGGCTTGCACTTTTATGCATAATCAGCAATTTATGTCAACGGCAGAGGAAAAGCCAACGGGCAGGACACTGAGGCCACTGGGGGCATTGCGCATACGCCACGTTAGCCAACGCCAACGCCAACGCCATTCGAATTGCAATCTAATTACCAACAAATGCTAGATGTGAGATAGATGCAGATGCAGTTGGCATTTGCATGGAATTGTGCTGTGTTCCATTCGGGCCTTCGGCTTCAGGATGTGTGTGACAAGGACATGGTGCTCGTTTTCTGGAGGGCTTTCGTGTAGTTTCTTTTTGGGAATGATGTGTGAATCCCATTGTGCGTGGACTCCACTCCCCTCCACAAGATGGCAATTAGGGAAAGTCAACGCGTTGCAACGCCAAGAGCCATGGATGGCAGAATCTACTCTTCAAAGCGATGTTTAGACAGTTTTCCCGCATGCATTTACTGCCTATTCCTGCTCAAATAATCAGAATATTGCGTATCTTATATTTCGAAAGCCAATGTGCTGTGTCTGGCCAACAGCCCCCTGGAATTGCCATAAGCCCTAGCCAAAGACAATTAAGACAAACAAAGGGCATTTGGCTCCAGAGCCAAAGCAGACACTGAAGATGGAACTATTTTGCATATTTGCCAGATAGCCAGACAGCCATCCCGAGATGCATATTATAGATATGCCAGGCATGGCTCTACTTCTGTCAATTAGGGTCTCAATTCAGGTCTAATTTGGCCAACACCTCTGCAGGCCATCACCAGGATCCTGGTACGCGTAAACCTGATACTTTCTTTGAAATTACTTATCAAAAGGCCATCCAAGGCGCAATTAATCTTAATTATTATCGTAGAATTTCGTATGCAAGTCGTCGGGCAAAAGTTCTCCCACTGTTTTTGGGTATGGGGATGTGTTTAAGCCTCTGCTTTTGATGGGTTCTCTTCGGCACTGTTTAGAATGTCCTTTGCTGTCCTGTTTTGTCCGAGGATTGTCAGCAAATCAGGTGCAAGACGTGATGTGCTTTCGATAAAGTGCACAGCAAAATATAAAGAATACACAAATGTTAGGCAGAGAATGAATGAAGGCGAAACCGAATCAGGGAATACTCTGGCGGAGGGATATTTGCAATATTTTATCTACTATTAATCTCCATGAATATCAGACAAATATCCGAACTTTATGGGGATATATTCTATAATTTACATTGCCTTCTGTTTTATGTTGAGGGAAGAACCCATATATTTTATTTTTACATGATTTTTTTCAGAGTGGATTTGGAAGCGTCTTCAGGCTTATTTTTTTAATTTTAAATTATTTATATTTCTAAGAAAATTAAATATGAATATTGGGAATATAAATATTTTATTTTCCCACCTGTCAAATAAATAAATTTAGGGATCAGGGTCGCAGACAGCGACGTACAAACCCCCAGCAGGAACCATCATACCCTCCATGAGAGTTTAACGAGAGAGTAAGAAAAAGTAAGGTAGAAAAAAAAACTTTTAATGCGCTTAGGCGACGAACGATACACGAACGGTGGACGGTGGAAGGTGATGGAAGGAACTGTGAAACGGTAAACGGATGGATGGTGAACGGTAAGCGGTAAACAAAATCAAAACCAAAACCAAAGCAAACCCATAGAGAAATAGCGAAGGAACGGAACGGTCCAGCACTTAAAATCTACTACCGACCGACCAACCGACCGACCACCCCTCTCTCCTGCAACCCAAAATATCCCTTCCCTGCTTCGGCCCTCCCTTCTCCCCTATAAAAGGACGAATCGGTGCGTGAGCAATTTTTCTAAACGAGAAATAACATGGAAAGAACTCAAGGAGAAGCACGTCTGGGACGAATCGGGGTTGCTTCAGCAACGAGTAGGAGTATAATGATGATGATGACGATAACGATGATAGCGATGGTTGCTTAAGTCATGTTCAAGGTGTTTTCTGGAAAGGTTTCGACCCCAAACGCAAGTTGTTAAATATTGAGCAACATTCCTTGAGACCTTTTTTGGTTCATTTGAAAGTTAACTAATTGAAGCGTTTAATGAAGCGCATCCCAATTCTCTGGAAGGTATTCGGCATCTAGTGGCTTTACAGGGGCTTTGATTTGATTATTTATGACTCTGAGGTTTTGTTTTGGTGTTTTTACTGGAAAAACTTAAACAAAAGTGCGCGCTCCATCAAGTTGTGTATTAGTCTGTTGATTGTACAATTCTTTAGAAGATCTTTAAAGTACTGTGCTGGTCTGTAAACGAATCGCAGAGGTAGGAAGATAGGTCCGCAGGAGGTCCAAGTACAAAAAAAGTCGTCGAAGTACTGTAAGCGAAGAAGAATTACGGCAGGGTCTTCATTGATATGTAATTAATTATATATGTAGGTATGTACAAACATATGTCCTAGCTTAAAAGCTAAGGCCGCCCGAGAGCCGTGTGGATCTTGAGAGCCTTGTGGATCTTGACAGCCGCGTGGATCTTAAGAGCGAAAGCTACAGAGCTATAGCGCTGCCAGCGCGCTTTCAGAGAGTGGATACAGAGCTTTGTAACAGGCTGTTATTGGAGACAGCCTTAACAGACTGTTAACATGGGCAGCTTACAGCGCTGTTGGTCTGTTACAGCTGTTCCCCTGAAGTCAGCTGTTACAGCGACATCAAGTCCTGTATTAAACTGTAATAAAATATATATATGGCTCTATTTTAAATTTTTTTTATTTATTTACGATTCTGGATTAATACAAAACTTGATGGATTGTCCACTTTCTTTGGTTTCCGCTTCTGGTTGAGTCTCACTATTTCGTAAAATGATGCCGTATTTATACAGAAATTTCATTTGCAAGTCGATTGAAATGATTTTCCACAATTGGCTTCATATAAACAGAGTACTGTATACCACAAAAAAATATTCTTACAACCCGGTCTTGGTCTAGTAGCCCGGTTTTCCGTATTGGTGTCGATTTGGGCTGTCCAAAAACTCGAAACTCTCATTCGTTTGACTAAGTTCCGAGGGTAAACAACCTAAATGTCGAAATTTTAAGTATTTTTTTTTTTTTAGTTTATATTGTTTTAATTTTTTTTTTGTGATAATTATGGCAGTCAAAAAGACATTTTATGTTTTAACGAATATTTGCACATGTTTTAATGTGAGAAAAAATGGTAAGCCATCAGAACAGATCGATTATCAGAGAAAACCATTAAAACAGATATATATCGCTTGTAGCATTTAGTTGTTGGAGTCGGGCAATGAATAAAAGTACTTTGAATACGCTTCGGGATCCGCCAGAGCCAAGCGGTAAAGACACGACGGTCTGGTCGAAAAGCGGTCCACTGAGCACGGTTCTAAAGAATGCAATCGAATCGCTGCTGCCGATTGAGACAAGGCGAGGCGAACTGGCAAAGGCGGCCATGCAGCAGAACTTCAGCAGTAAACTACTGAAGAGGCATCGCGTGGAGCAGCAAATCCTCGCCCCCAATACCATGGAAACGCGGGGAACGACAACGCAACGCCTCATGGCCCTAATGCAGTACAACATCACGCAGATGGCGTCGCCGTTTGGCTATGAGACATCCGATCTGGCCAGCAGGTACGCACGGCTCGGAGAAAGCCATCACGAGGAGGATCAACGCGATCAGAGCAAACCCAATCGAAGGGTAAGGGACATCCATCCTCCAAGGGAATCCGCCACACTCCCAGAAGGCAAAAAGGAGCAGAAGAGTGTCGGGCAGCAGCAGCAGCAGCAGAGTCTCAAGGATCGGCAGTTGGAGTATATAGATAACCTCATACATATAGCCAGCACGAAGCAAAAGATCGAAGGACACGAGGAGCCCAATCGTAGGGCCAGGGACATGCTCCCTCCGCTGGAGGAGGAGAAGGCACCTTCGATAGAATCTACCACTCTCGGGGAAACCAACTGGCAAAAGAAGCAGCATAGAGATAGCCATATAGATATAGCCAGCATAAAGCAGAAAATCGTAAGAAACGATCGCATGATGTGCACCATTCGAAGGATGGAGCAATACGCCCATATGCCAATCGACTTTCAGCCCAAAATATTCCGCCACGACTATCACTGGAAACTGAAGAAAATCAATAGTGTTGATAAATTCTTGCCCAAGAAGCAGCTCGTCGAAAAAAAGCTGCAGAAGGATCAAAAGGTGCCCAAAAAGGAAAGTCAAGGAAAACAGTCAGATTACGAACACATTCCATCGCAACGCACGGCCCGCGTCACCAAGAGCCCCGAAAGGGCCAAGAAAACGAAGAAATTGTTGAAAATTGGTAAGAGATTTGTATTACATTGGCCTACAGCTATAAGGCCTACTCGTGCTCCCCAGGCTCAAACCCTGAGATCAGATCGAAAATGTTTCCCACGAAGAGGATGAAGAAGCAAACTCCTGGACCTTCGACTGGAAGGGATCTGTAGGGATAGAATTTCTTCAAGGACATCAGCGGAAGAACAGAGGGTAAGGATTCATTTCCTAACATATTGAATTCCAAGTTTGTATTTATGACAATTACAGGCTCGAGAACGTTTCGGACGTTGAATTATTCGAGATGTTCTTCTAATGTAAATGGAATTTTATGAAATAAAAAAAATATAACCATATTTTAAGGGGGGAAAAGAGTTTTCGGAGAGGCGATAGTAGAGTCCGCCTGGGAAAGAGACTACCAAAGATCTGCAAAGTTCCATAATGGTTTGAGGATGTTTTTGGAGAACACTCCCGATAGGTTTTCAACATAATATCCTGCCTTTTGAGAGGTGGCAGAGCCATAGGATAGTTGTTTCTTTGAGTGTAAAGAAATCCCTAGTCTCTAAACATATCTGAATGCCCGAACCATCTAAAGGGAATCTTTCTTTGGAACTGGATCGTATTTAAGCCTTCAAATTAAAGTTATCTTCAAGAGAGCAGCCCCAAAAAGCAGCCATAAAACGGGCATATGAAATTTCATATTAATATCCTTTTCAAATCCTTAAAAATACACCGCCTTTTGTTTGATTTTCAGACCTTGAGGGCCATTAATAATTTTAATGTTCGCTGATGCAAAAGTTGAGAGTCCCCTCATAAAAAGGCACCCTCAAGGAGGGCAGGAAGGAAGGCGTGGCCGCAAAAAATGTTGTCTAAACAATTAGCAGGACATTTGAGTGTCATGCACCACTTATCCTGTTGTATCCTTCGCTGGGATATCCACATGCCCGAGTCGTTGTCGTAGACACAAGTGCCAGCCCAAGCAAACGCTAGCAAAAATTAATTAAAACTTACCTCAAATGAACTGACAGTCAATTAAAGTTTACGCAAGAGACAGGACACACACAGGAGCCAGGACAACAAGTCAACATCAGCAGCATGGCCTCCACTCCATTCCCTCTCCGAACAGAAGGCGAAAAGGGGATACTCTTTCTAGAGACCGAATGAAATGTTAAACGCACCATTAAACGCGACCCCAAGAGGGCCCAGCCACCGCCGGAGTTGGCTCGTTTATTGGCCAAAAGCAAGCACACACACAGAGAGAGAGAGAGAGAGAGAGAGAAAGAGGGAGAGGGAGAGAGAAGAGAGCATAGCAAATGCCAAAAACGACAGGAGTCGGGCAGACAGACAGACAGACAGCAAAAACAAAGAAGAACCAAGTCGTCTCAGGACGAATAAATAATATGAAACAATCTGAAGAGGCGGGAAGGCTGCCGCTACCCCTCTCTGAGCCCTGGTCCAGGATGCGGCTTGTTTGTCTTGGACTTGAACGGCCAGCCACCACACTCTGCAGATACTCGTAGCAGCAGCAAAACAATTAACAATCTCCGTTTGTCGTAATTGACTCAAATGAGCGCAAACAATAAATAAAACAGTACTGTGGAGGAGCAGTGGCAGTGGCAGCAGCGGCAGTGGCAGCATCGACAGTGGCAGTGGCAGTGGAGGAGCAAACACAGCGGATGACCAGCGGCCAAGAGTGAAGCTAAACAAAGGCATGCGGCCAGAAAACCCCCACCAACAACTACGTTGACATTTCTTTGGGTCTAGAGATGAGCCATTGATTGAGGGATATGCCCCACAAACAATGAAGGAAGGATCTCTGCTAATGGTAAGTAGAGATTTGGAATGAAAAACCATCTAGGGCACATCTAGGGTTACATTTTGGATGGCCAACCCCAGTTTATCTTGTTTAAATTCCTTATAAATTCCATATAAACACCCATCTTCTCTAGATTTAAGAGGAAAATTCGCAGTCACGTTGGTCCCCGTTTCGGTTGCCAACATTCATCAGCCCCGAGGAGCGTGGCACATTCTTATAGCTTGTTTCTGGCGTTGACCCATGAGCACACACATCCCCTGCCCCCCAAACCCCACATTCCATGAAGCCTGCAGCAAAATCACAGAGCCACAGACCCGTACTGCATTTTTCTTCACTCTTTTGTTGTCCCGTCATGCCTTTTGCTTCGATTGTTTGCGGAGCTTGTCAGCATTTCCCGGCATGTCCCAGTGTCAGCCAAGGATCTCCCTTCGTTGTCCTTGCAAGTGGATATCTTTGACTAAGTGCAGCAGGGAGACGGTCATCTGACGTCCTGTTTTTGTTTTCCGTTCCTTCTGCCAGATGTTTGCACTTCAATATTGTATTTTTAATTATTCAAGTTTTCGAGTGGAGCCCAGGCAGGCGCCCTCCCTCTTCCACGACTACTGCAAAGAGCGGATGAGTATAATGTAGTGCCCTCTATATATGGAGTCCTTTCTAGGGTCCGGCAATGGAGTGGACGGATGACAAATGTCAAACACATGGAAAGCCACTTGATCCAAACAGAGAGAGAGAGACAGGGAGAGAGCAAGGATTTCCTTTATTGTTTAATACAGGGAAAATGTTAAATATCTTTATAACGTTTTCCTGACAGGCTGCTTAAGCTTTCACCTGCTTCAGAGCGGCATAGAAATCAGGGAATTTTCCATGAAAACACCGCATTTTCCCAACGTTAATTATCTAAGATACATCCATCTATTCAGGAGATACAAAAGAACATTCACATGTGATGAGGGCTTTTCATGGGCTGCGATGTAATGCCATTAGAATTACCATAGAACGAACCCCCCTCCCCCCACCCATCCGGCACTCTGCCACTCCACTAAATGGAAAATTGAAAAGCTGTGAAAGTGCGTGGAAAAGGCATATTGAAATTGGTTGGAAATGGCAAGGAAAATGGTTGAAAATAGGATGGAAAAAGGGCCTGCAAAAACGGGGGAAGCTGCTGTCAAAGTTCGCGGCAGAATTTGAGAAACATTTTCAAAGGCTGGGAGCGACGGAAGACAGCAGGCTCTCTCCACCAACTACTTGCAAATGCAGTGCGCGGTGAGCGGTGGCATGCTCCTGCTCGGGGGGAGGGGGGATTGGGGGCATGTCCTGCAGCCGCAGGAGAGTGTGTTTGCCGCAAATAAATTTGATTTGCATGTGCAAATGAACGTGGAATTGAATTTTCTTATGCATGAAATGTGCGCATAATTGGTCTTTGGTGCCGCCCCAACACACACACACACACACACAGAGACATGCACAGGCACAGATGCTTCTGTGTCAGCCATCAGGCATCGGTGGCGCCTTTCACGCCTAGACAAGTGGCCCATTTTGAGGCAGCAGTCCTTGTACTTCTCGTAATTGCTTATGTATAAATTTAAATGCACAAATAATCGCACAAGCAGAAAAGATGGAAGAAATCGCTCTACTCCCCCCTCAAACGCACTTTTATAATAAATTTTATTTTAATCGAAATCAAAGGAAACAAATATTTTGAAAATAAAAAACAATTTTTATAATTCAAATTATGAATTATAAATATCTGAAATAAGTCTTATTTTTATTAGTTGTTCTATTATTTTTATTAATTTATGCCCATTACTTATTTAAAAAAAAAAAAATATTTATTTATAATAACTCAAATTTAATACTTTTCAATACCGTTTTGTACAAAAAAATATAAATTAATGTAATATATAGTATATAATATAATGTAATATAAATATATTTCAAGGTTTTAAGGTCCTTTACCTTTAAGGTTATATTAAAGGACCCAATAGAAACGGAAAGTAAAATTTACAATTTTGAAATTTATTTATTTTATTTTAATTTATTTATTTTTTATCGATTCTGACCATAAAATGCACCATAAGTCCGAAATGAACCATTTTAGGGATGACAAATTCTATAAAAAAAAACTAAATCAAAATCTCTTCAAAATACTCTTTGTATTCACGAATAGATTCACGAACCATTAGTGGACATTTCACTGCTTTTATTCGGAGTATATTTAAAAGCCTTTTGTGGTATTTTTCGCCGACTTCCGTTTAAACACTTTTGTGGGCGATCATTAGCATTTCTTATGCCGCGGGGGGGGCAGGGGCGCCTCAAGTTGCGCTTAGCTACTTCTGGGGGCTGCCTCCTTCTCGTTTAAGTTCCACTTTTGTGGGTGGATATCAGAGTCCGCCGCTGTTTGGCTTCCGCTTTGCCGCCGCAGCGCCGCGGGGCTAATGTGATTTTTATTGGATTTATAAACTTAAGTGTCAACTTCCGTACTTTCGGAAAAGATTTGCATTTTAAACCCCACCCAACTTTTGCCTCAGTTTCGTTTTTCTTTTGGCGTTCGTTAAGAATTAGCCACATAAATATTCCCGCACGTATTCGAAATACTTTTGTTCAATTTTCCAATCGAGAATGCATTTTCCTATGCCACGTCCTTACATTTTGTGCAAATTTTACATCTCACTCTCGACGGGTTTTCCCGGCTTGACAAACTTTTCCCCCGACAGTTTGTCGAAGTTCGACGCATTCCGCTTCGCCCTCCTTGGACCGGTCTGTCTTTTGCAGTCAAAGGAGCTGTGCTGTCTGCATTTGTCTGCATAATTAAATAGAACATTAAATTGAGGGGGAATATATATGTATGTAAGTGCAATAATGAACACCAAAAGGCAGTTTATTCCTCAATTGAGATTTTTGCAAAAGGAAATCCTAAAAAGCAGGGATCATATGGATTGTATTTTGTATGATATAAATTAAACTCTGATTTGTAAGAAATAAATCTTATTTTTAATATTTATTATTTACAAATTAGTTTGTGTTACTAAAATAAAAAATAGCTCTTCATTTTTAAATACAAATTCATTTCTGATTTCTTACTAAAAAAATAATGGGGTATTATTTGTAATTTTTAGATTAAAAGAAAATAAATTAATTACTTAAATTTTTGTTTAACATTTTTCATTACATTAATTTGTTTTTTTTTTTTTAATTAATTTTGTACTATTTATTATTATTATTTTTTCGCCTTTTATGGGACAATTTAATATTTTTATTTTTTGTTTAATTTATTTATTTATTATAAAAATTAAAAAAAATTAAAAATAATAATTGAAGGTATCCTTTTGGAAAAAATAGATCATTTAACGAACACTTGAAAACATATTTGAATATATAAATAATCTAAAAATATGTCAAAAAGAACATGACAAAAATTATGTAAAAAAAATCAAAAATAATAAAACACTTAAAAAAATATCTTAGTATATGAATAATCTATTAAAATTCAATGTCTAAAAACATAGATACATTTTAAAAAATTAACGCTGGCATTCTTTT